CCCAAAGATGGATAGGAGGAAATGTGTGAAACTTTAAGTAAATTGACATGTTTAGATGTACCCAAAGATGGATAGGAGGAAATGTGTGAAACTTTAAGTAAATTGACATGTTCAGATGGATATCGGTTCTTTTTTTTTTTTTTTTTTTTTTGAGACAAGGTCCCTGCTCTGTTTCCCAGGCTGGAGTGCAGTGGTGTGATCACGGCTCACTGTAGCCTCAACTTCCTGGGCTCAAGCAATCCTCCCTCCTCAGCCTCCCCAGTAGCTAGAACTATAAACCTGCCTCACCACGCCCTGCTCATTTTTAATTTCTTGTAGAGATGGGGTTTCATTATGTTGCCCAGACTGGGATACTTTTCTTGATCATTTTGATTTCCATTAGTTTTATTGATGTAATTTTTATGACCACCAAAAAGTGTCACTTACCCCTTATATAACACTATGAAGTGTGTATTATCCATTAGAAGAGTGTTTCCTTAAAAACATGAAGGATGTCAATTATCTGTTTTTGAAATCCATCATATCACAGGAAAGGAGCAGGAATTGGGTTGCTTTAGTTTCTTTTTTGTTTGTCTGTTTGTTTGTTTGTTTTGAGACGGAGTCTCACTCTTTTGCCCAGGCTGGAGTGCAGTGGCATAATCTCGACTCACTGCAAGCTCCACCTCCTGGGTTCACATCATTCTTCTGCCTCAGCCTCCCAAGTAGCTGGGACTACAGGCGCCCGCCACCACGCCTGGCTAATTTTTTGTATTGTTAGTAGAGAAACGGTTTCACCGTGTTGGCCAGAATGGTCTCGATCTCCTGACCTCATGATCCGCCCATCTTGGCCTCCCAAAGTGCTGGGATTACAGGCGTGAGCCACCGTGCCCGGCCGGTTGATTGGGTTGCTTTATTTTGTTAAGCTGTATCATGTTCCGGAAACGACTTAAGATGTCATAATATAATTCCTTGGGAAAGGAAATCAACATAGCCAAGATCTGAAAAAAATGAGAGCCTTTTCACAATTATTCTATATAGGTTTTGACTGGCCTGGCCACATCCTTCCCATTTTGAGTGTTCAGCCTCCTCAATGTTAAAACAAATTTTGCCCATCCTCTTTGCACAGGAGTAATTTTTAAACTCTAGTAGAAAAACTTATAAACACACACAACAGTGGAGAGAACAGTACCGTAATCCTCATGTGCCCATCAGCCAGTTTCAACAATCATCAACTTGTTATGCAAACTCAAAGCAAAAAAACCTAAAATGTATGACAAATCTTTGAGTCGACTCTATGATTCTCATAAATGAGTAGCTTCCTCTTTTCAAGGAAAATGCAAAATTCTGATATTCCAGACTAAGGCTTTCTCCACATCCCGTAATAACAGTTCACTGAAAAGTAAAAATATTTTCATCCAACTTCAACTTTTAGGATATACTACATGAACCAGACTGAGTTTTCTTTTTCTTTGTTTTTCAGCGACAAAGCTGAATCTACAAGCACAAGCTCTTTAGGCATTCGAAGTAAGAGGCAGAATGTGGTTTGTTAAGATTTCCATTCAGCCGGGTGTGGTGACTCACACCTGTAATCTCAGCACTTTGTGGGGCCCAGGCGGGTGGATCACGAGGTCAGGCATTCGAGACCAGCCTGGCCAACGTGGTGAAACCCCGTCTCTACTAAAATACAGAAAGTAGCCAGGCGTGGTGGTGCATGCTTGTAATCCCAGACACTCAGGAGGCTGAGGCAGGAGAATCACTTGAACCCGGGAGGCGGAGGTTGCAGTGAGCTGAGATCGCGCCACGGCACTCCAGCCTGGGTGACACAGTAAGACTCCGTCTCAAAATAAAAAAAGATTTCCGTTCTCTTGGCCTCCCTTTTCCTGGAGGAAAAATGGGAAGGAGTATGGTACTAAGAGTAGTAAATTGGTTAGTGGGGTACACTGGTATCCCACTGTATGGTTAGTGGGGTACACTGTTTCTTGTATATGCCTCTAACCATTAAAGTTCCCTTGTTTTCATCTCTTCTCCGGACTGAATATTCTGCTTCCTCTATTTAAAAAAAAAAAAAAAGACAGTGAGTCCAAAGTATGTTTGAATATAGAATTGGCACGATGATATTTTGCCTTCAGCCAAATCTGAATGTATTTTCCATTACTGCGTATTCTCACAGGGGCTTCTCTGTGAGATTCAATGTTCTTGTTAATTTTTCACATCTGTAATTTAATTTGAGATGCCTCAGTTATTAAACCTGGTTACTTTGCATGAGGTCTTTAGTCTTGCAGTGTGATGTGGATGAAAGAATACAAACTTTGGAATAGGACAGACCTTTTGAATCCTAGGCCTCACTACTTAACAGCTTGTCAGTCACTGAACAAGTTATTTAACCAAACTGAACCTCAGTTAATTTTGGTTTTAGGACATTAAAGAAAGTTTTCAAGGTGTTTGAGAATTTATTAGAAAGTAGGAATTGTCTTTTGTTTCTGTTTTTGTTTCTGAGACACGGTCTTACCGTATCGCCCAGGCTGGAGTGCAGTGGCATGATCTCGGCTCACTGCAACCTCTGCCTCCTGGACTCAAGCAATTCTCATGCCTCAGCCTTCCGAGTAGCTGGGACTACAGGTGTGCCCTACCATGCCTCGCTAATTCTTTGTATTTTTAGTAGAGACAGGGTTTTGCCATGTTGCCCAGGCTGGTCTCAAACTCCCAAACTCAAGCCATCCGCTTGCCTCAGCCTCCCAAAGTGCTGGGATTATAGGTGTGAGCCACCATGCCCGGCCAGGAATTGTCTCAATTCAACTTCCACCCCATAAAATAGATCTGGAATTGGTCTGGAGACAGTCTTATAGCAGTGACCATGACTTGCTAACATTTCTTTTCAAAGATATTTGTAAAAGGGCCAGAAGACTCTCTGGGTGGCTCCAAGGCTGTGAGGGGTTTTTGGCTGTTGTTGTTTTGCTTTTTTACTAGAGGTGGGGTCTCTCTGTGTTACCCAGGCTGGTCTTGGACTCCCGGGCTCAAGCGATCCTCCCACCTTGGCCTTCCAAAGTGCGGGGATTACAGGTGTGAGCCACCACACCCGGCCAGGATATGAGCGTTGATGACCCCAGAAGACACTAAGGATTTGTGAACTTTGACTTTTTAAACACTTCACACTGCACAGTTAAGAAGAATAGACTACTAAGCAAATGGAAAATAAGGATTATGAGCCATGTGTGAATGTTTAATTTCCTTTTTTTTTGAAGTGCTTTCAAGTACTGTGTAAGAGAGGCTTGTGACTTAGATACCCACACTACACAATTCTGTTCTAAGTTCTAGCCTTTGTTTGTAAATAACTGACCTTGGACATGTCACTTAACCTTTCTGGGCCTCAGTTTCCTCATCTGTAAAATGAAGAAATTGGGCTAGGTCATTTCAGAAGAGATTCCTGTATTATTTTGCTTTAACTCTGGAGCATGCAGTGAAAAAGCAAAAGTATTTGAGGCAGGCAGACTTAGGCTTTATTTACCTGCTGTCAGATCTTGAGCAATGAACCTATCTTAACATGGGCTTCCGCTGACTCATCTGTAAATTGAGAGCAATTCCAATTTCATAAGATCGTTGTGAGAGTTACAGCAATGGGGATATATCTCCCAGCTCAGCCATTGTTAATTCTGTTATCACCTCCATCTCTCCCCCTTCTCCCTCTCTACAGTATATTAATGTCATGACATTCCTATTTATATTACACTGTGGACGGTAGGATTAATGAAACAATGGCCTCTGGGCATTGAATTTCTCTCTTTGTCACGGTCACCGTGTCCACATCTGGATGCCAACCACCACTATTGTCACAATTTAGAACTCAGGCCAGCCACCATAGGCAGTGCATGGGAGTGGTTTTTGTGCTGTAAAATTCTGACCAAAGGAGGAAACTGAGTACCAAGTACTTACACATAGCTTCACCTCTCTGATTGTTCTTAATATAGTACGTTTCCCCTTGTTTCCAAGAGTATTTTCTCAGTGTGCCCAGGGACACTGAGCTGGACGGGGCTAGTGTGGTGTATTCAGTGTTGGGGAGGGAAGGGACCCTCTGGAGCCAGACCATTTGGCTTCCAATCCAGCTTTGCAGATTCCTAGTGTGTGTGACGTGAGGCTAATTATGTTATCTCTCTGATTCTCAGTTTCTGTGTATGTAAAATGGAGATACTAACATTACCTACCATTGTGCAAATGAAATGTATGAATCCATATCAAGTGCCTGAAATGGTGCATGGTGCCTAGTAAGTGTAAATAACTTTTGTATTTATTCCACCCAATTGCTCTTGTTTTTCTTGTTGTTGTTGTTTGGTTGGGTTTTTTTTTTTTTTGGAGACAGAGTCTTACTCTGTCGCCCAGGCTGGAGTGCAGTGGCACCATCTCGACTTACTGCAACCTCCGCCTCCTGGGTTCACGCCATTCTCCTGCCTCAGCCTCCTGAGTAGCTGGGACTACAGGCACCCGCCACCACACCTGGCTAATTTTTTGTATTTTTAGTAGAGATGGGGTTTCACCATGTTGGCCAGGATGGTGTTGATCTCCTGACCTAGTGATCTGCCTGCCTTGGCCTCCCAAAGTGCTGGGGTTACAGGCATGAGCCACCACGCCTGGCCTCCAATTGCCCTTATTAAGGGGAAAATTAACAATGAACAATTTCCCCTTGTTAAGGGACTGGAAAAAATGCAATACCCCAAAGTGCTACTCCAAAGGATCTGGAAGATTTTCTGAAACTCAGACAAAAGCAGCTTGAATTCCCTCCATCCCTCAGCTTCCCATACTACCAGAGCTCATCCTGCACGAGGAATGAGAGGAGCAGAGTAACTGCTCTGGGTGGTGAATGGGATTGATTGTACCATGTGCGCTGTTCATAGGCACGTCAGTTCAGGCACTGCAACGCTAGGAAACACAGGTAGCCAACAACAATCCTAGGCCAATGTTAATTGACTTTTGAAAAGAGAACACCTACAATTCCCAAATAACCTGAATCTTCTCTCTTTCCGCCTCAGTAAAATATGTGGTGTTGTTTCCACCAGAATGAGGGAGCACCTGAACCAGACTGAAACAGGGTGTTTCAGTGAGAGGCATCTTGCCCATCTCCCTATCAGCTTTCATCCATTGTATCCCAGCGGAGGTAAGAGCAGGAGACAGTGTGCCATGTGAATTAGACATGAGGCCATGTACCTTCAGAGTCCGCCAGTGGTCCCCAGAGAATTGGGAGCTATGGTAGAATGAAGACGGTAGCTTCCCCTGTCTCCAAGGGTACGGGGCTCCCATCATGACTTCTTGTAGCTTACGGTCTTGGACAGATCTTTTCAACTCTCCACACTTGGTTTTCTCAGTCAAGGAATGATAATAACCGCTAATCTCATGGTGGCAAGGGAGGGGAAGGCACATGCTGTGAGCCATGAATGATGAACTCGTTAATAACTTATAAGTCATTAATTCTAAAGCCAAGAGCATCACTCCTGGCACATAGAAAGAGGAAGCTTGTGGCGATGAAGTTTTTTTGAGTAGAAGATACGAAAGAAGCAGAAACTCAGGCTCCTTCACGAATAACAGAATGATTTTGTGAAGTGGAATGGGTAATTCTGTGCTAGGGTTAGAAGGAATACTCTCATCATTTAAAATCAGAGAAACCAAGCACAGGGAGATGAAATGATTTGTTTGTGTTGCATGATTTAGCAGCTGAACTTGGTCATAAAGATGGGATTTTAAGTCCTTCAAGATAATAGTCTTTATATAGTTAGTGCTTCTTATAATTTCTTTCTGAAACGTAATAGATATCGGAGCAAAGGGGCAGTATGAATATCTTGGTATCTATACTAATACTGAAATATGGGTTTGAATGACAGGATTCTTAAGAAGTGTTCAGAATTTATGGAAAAAGAGTACCTATTAGTATTACTCACATCAAAGTCTTATAGGTATACTATATAATACAGTTTTTAAAATGTATACATTTACCATGAAGGAGATCCACTCTGTTTTACATTGTTGTTGATTTTGAAGCAGCCTCTTTGTATTTTTTGATTTATATACATACAGTTCACTCTCTTTAGTGTGTAGTTCCACGTGTTTTGACAGTGGCATAGAGTCACGCATCCACCACCACCATCATCAAGAACAATTCCGTCAGTCCCCAAAATTCCCTTTTCCAGAACGTCATATTTTTATCATAGAGTATGTAGCCATTGGGGGCTGGAAAAGTGCTGCTTATTCTTTCTTTTCTATTAAATGAATGTCCTTTGCATGTTACAAGGTGATTATGAGTGTCTCTCATAGATCCTCTGGCAGTTTTATTTTTATTTATTTATTTATTTATGAGACAGCATCTCACTCTGTTGCCCAGGCTGGAGTGCAGTGGTGCAGTCTTGGCTTTTTGCAGCCTCCACCTCCCAGGCTTAAGCAATCCTCCCACCTCAGCCTCGTGAGTACCTGGGACTACAGGTGCATGCCAACACACCCAGCTAGTTTTTTGTATTTTTTTGTAGAGATGGGGTTTTGCCATGTTGCCTGGGCTGGTCTAGAACTCCTGGACCCAAGCGATTTACGTAACCGCCTTGGCCTCCCTAAGTGCTGGGATTATAGGCATGAGCCACCGTGCCCAGCCCTCTGGTAGTTTTAATATCTATTGAGTACTGGTTCCTTTTGACCTGCTTTTCTTTTCCCATGTTATTTGTTTTTCTTATAAATAACAGAAGCAGTTGGGCCTGTTTTTTTTTTTCTTTTTTTTTTTTTTAAAGTAGGGCTGTTTTTAGTAATATTATTCATTTGGGGTAATAAACTAAAGTAAGTACAGCATTTGATTATGTAGTTAAACTTGTACTTTTTTTACCTTTGATTTTGCAATATCAGAGATTCAGAATAAATAGTAGAAACACCATGAACTTAATTGGAAGAACGAGAACAACCAAAAGTGTGTTCCACTTTTATTCTGAAAACACATGTGACAGACTCACAAAACTTGCCACCAATCAATCAGATTATACAAGAGTGTCATGGAGAGCATGCCACAACACCCCAATATGATTTCTTTTTTTTTTTTTTTTAGACGCTGGAGTGCAGTGACGCGATCTCGGCTCACTGCAAGCTCCGCCTCCCAGGTTCACGCCGTTCTCCTGCCTCAGCCTCCTGAGTAGCTGGGACTACAGGCGCCCGCCACCACGCCCGGCTAATTTTTTGTATTTTTAGTAGAGACGGGGTTTCACTGTGTTAGCCAGGATGGTCTCGATCTCCTGACCTCGTGATCCACCTGTGTCGGCCTCCCAAAGTGTTGGGATTACAGGCGTGAGCCACCGTGCCCGGCCCCCAATATGGTTTCTTATCAGAATTCATACAGGAAAAGCTCTGCTTAGGTTTACAGATGGCTCAATGGTTTATTTTTTCCCATAAATTGAATATATTAGTCACTGGTATCGATTTAAAGATGTCCATAATTCTGTTTCTAAAATATTCAAGTATTTAAAAGTAAAGCCCTTGGCCAGGTGCAGTGGCTCATACCTGTAATCCCAGCACTTTGGAAGGCCGAGGCAGGTGGATCACGAGGTCAGGAGTTCAAGACCAGCCTGGCCAAGATGGTGAAACCCTGTCTCTACTAAAAATACAAAAATTAGCCAGGCATGGTAGTGGGCACCTGTAATCCCAGCTACTCAGGAGGCTGAGGCAGAGAACTCCTTGAACCTGGGAGACAGAGGTTGCAGTGAGCCGAGATCACACCACTGCACCCCAGCCTGGGCGACAGAGCGAGACTCTGTCTTTAAAAAAAAAAAAAAAGTAAAGCTCTTGATGCCGGAAAACTGGATACTGGAAACTGCTACTGCAGTCCCTAAATTGGCCCTGGGCAGAGGAGAGGGTACGAGGGCAAACCATTGAAGAAGCCAACATTTCTTTGAAGTCTCATGCTTTATTTTACAAAGTTATTTAAATATTACATTTTTGTCTACTCTGTAACTTTTGTAAACTTTTTATTGAAATATAATCCTATATACAGAAAACTGCACGTATCAGAATTGAACAGATCACTGAATTTTTACATTACTGTTACCTGTATAAGCAGCCCAAGAAACCATGCTCCTGGTACTCCTAGAACCCACTACCCACCAAGGGCTCCTTCCCAGACACGTTCAAGATTAACAGTTGTCCCGACTCCATTAATTAGACGTGTGTGTTTTTGTGTCGCTGTGTAACTTCTAACTGAAGCCCAGGGCTTTTCGTCCAAATGTCCAGGTTAAATGGGTATTTCAGGAAGAAGTGCCAGGCCTAGGTTCCCTGTATTTCTGCATATTCTCTGTGGCCAGGGGACGGGGAGAGCTTCCCCTGCACATCAAAAGACTCTGTCTCCCATGTGTTCCCTCTTTCTAAAAGTTTATTTAGGTGTTTTTTCATATTGGTAGAATAAGACTGTAAACAGAACTGCCCTGCTGTTCTTTATAAAACATTAGGCTTGCAATAGATAAGGACTTAGTTCCCAGACTGCACAGTCTATATATACTCCACTACATGCAGCGACAAATGGAATTTACCACTGACCTTCAACAACTTTTGACCTGTCTTGGTTTGTAAATAGGGGTTAAAATTAAACAAGAGTCCTAAGTGAGCATAATTTCTTATTTGGCTGCTCTTACATGGAATTGGAGGGAAGGTTTTACAAGTTGCGAATGAATTCTCGATTTATATCCAGCTGGGTGCAGCCTGGTGCCTTGTTTTGAAGGTGAAGAAGGCACTGTGTCCAGGGCAAGATGTAAATTTGTCTAGTGGAGTCATTAAGAACCTTTCCCGGCCAGACACGGTGGCTCACGCCTGTAATACCAGCACTTTGGAAGGCCGAGGCGGGTGGATCACGAGGTCAGGAGATTGAGACCATCCTGGCGAACATAGTGAAACCCCATCTCTACTAAAAATACAAAAAAATTAGCCAGACATGGTGGCGGGCGCCTGTAGTCCCAGCTACTTGGGAGGCGGAGACAGGAGAATGGCGTGAACCCGGGACGCAGAGCTTGCAGTGAGCCGAGATTGTGCCACTGCACTCCAGCTTGGGTGACAGAGCGAGACTCCGTTCCCGCCCCCCCCAAAAAAGAACTCCCCACCCCTGTTACAAACAAAACAGTACAGGGCATACTGTGTTCTGTTGATTTCAGTGAAAGAGACGACCCTGCTGTGAGAAGCAAATCAATGCTGTACTTTTATTTGAAAGAGTCAGTAAAACCTAGGAAATGCCACCTGAAATGCAAAATACCTACGTCAAGCTGTGAACAACCACATCTGAATAAGTAGATGGCAAAAAAAAGCTTACTACTTGATGTTCAAGTGCTGCAAACAACATACTCTCTCATTTCTGGAATCCAATAAAACTTAAGTCCTAAGAGGCAGTTTTTGAACTCAAAAACCCATCAAAGTGATAAACGTGTATATGAGTGACGCCTCACCTCAATTAATGTAAGGAAACCTCCTGTATCTCAATGGTACAGGTCCCTTGTGAAAGGTTGTTTTCAATCTACGTTCAATATAGGTTAGTCAGCTATTTAATAGTTACATTATTGTCATGAGCTGACATGAAAGTATTTATTTGTGCAGGAAGATGTTTTAGGAAATGGTATTTTCTTCCCTTTGTTTTCTGCCATTGGAAGAAAACTTTAATGTTATTCACAGTTGCCCTAGAAACAAGAGGCACAGCACACCACACAGCGCCACAGCGGGAAGCATCCGTGTCAGTTCCAGATGCAGACGGGGGAGGGAAAGGCATAAGCCACAGTCTTTTTTTAGTTTTTGAGATAGAGTCTCTGTCTGTTGCCCAGGCGGGAGTGCAGTGGTGCAATCTCAGTTCACTGCAACCTCCGCCTCCTGGGTTCAAGTCATTGTTGTGCCTCAGCCTCCCGAGTAGCTGGGACTGCAGGCGCCGGCCACCACACCTAGCTAATTTTTGTACTTTTAGTAGAGATGGGGTTTCGTCATGTTGGCCAGGCTGGTCTTGAACTCTTGGTGTCAAGTGATCCACCCACCTCAGCTTCTCAAAGTGCTGGGATTACAGGTGTGAGCCACTGTGCCTGGCTAACAGTCTTTCTTTCTTTTTTTTATTTTTTTAAATAATGCTATCTTAATGTGTTTTTTGTTTGTTTGTTTGTTTGTTTTGAG